GCTGTTTGGGGGCAATTCTGGGGTATTTTTTTTATTGCTCGTCGAAAACCCTCACAAGGTCTCCTTGATTCGCATCCCAGAAGTCCCGAACACCCACATGAGAACACAAGGTTTGGCGACCCCTGAAGTCGCACACCTTGTGATCCCACAGGGGTCGCTGCTCCCTCGAGTCTCTCTCTCTCTCTCTCTATCGCTCTCTCTCTCTCTCTCGCTCTGTTTCTCTGTCTCTCTTTCTGTACGGGGACAGGCCCGACTTAACTGTGTGGAAGTCGCCACCCGCGTGAGTGGCCCCTCGGCGCCCCGCACGTGGGCGCGGCGCAGCGGAGGAGTACAGCGAGGGCACGCCGTCTGCCGACGCAGCCGTGCAGGAGCTATGCCATTCGAGGGAGAGGGAGGGGGAAAGAGAGAGGGAGTCTCTCTCTCTCTCTCTCTCTCTCTCCTGACGAACCAACAACAACACACACCCATACCCATAGGGGGGTCGGAAAGGGCTATGGGTGCGTGTTGTCGGATGGGGGTCCCCGCTCGAACGGGAGCGTTCCCCAGGGTCCGACAAGCCGCACCCATATCCATAGCCAGTCCTCCTCCCAACGACCCCCTTATGGGTATGGGTGTGTGCTGTTCGTTCGTCATCGCCTTCCTCGCGCCGTCCACGAGGCCCAGTGTTTGAAAATGACGCACCCCCGAGACCGCGAAATCTGCATCCACCTCACGAGCCCTTTGCGAGGAGGGCGCAAAAAAGTTGATGTTCGAGTGTCTTACTGTTTTTCTGTTCCTCCTGAAGAGAGGCCATGCAAAGGGAGCCTGCACGCCGAAGCAGGCCAGAAAGCCCTGCCGGCACGACCAAGGTGTACAGAGCTCCTAAGGCGAAGCGAAGGAGGCGCCCAGCACAGCTGCGGCCGCGCAGCCCCTCGAGAAAAAACGACAGTGAGGGCATTGGACGAGGAAGCCTCCTCAGATAAGGAATCCAGGGTCTGGAGGCTGGTGCAACACCAATTGAGGCTTGGCCATGGATATCGCCGCCGCCCTCACCAGACAAGGAATCCTCCAGGGTCTGAAGCCCTGTGCGCACATCCCTGAACGAAGGCCCCCGCTGTACTGGTCCACTGAGCCGTCCGAGGCGTCGGCGCCGTAGCAGACAGGCTGGCCCGCCGACACGGTGCCGCCGCCGCTGCCGTGCCACATAGGGTCGGGCACATGGCACGTAGACATGCCATTGCCGTGCGGCACGTCCACCGAACCTGAGGCGACTGGGCTGGGGCCGCCGAGGGCTATCGGGCTCCGCAGCAAGGTGCCGCCGCCGCTGGGGTGGATGGACTTGTGCGTCCCGTACGTGGCCAGGATGTTCATGCACCCCACGTACAGTCGGACTCGATTGGACAGGGCACGCGAGAGGGCACAAGACCTTTCCGAAGGCTTTCCGAAGGCCACATCGCCATAGGCGTCTAAGAAGGCACGTGTCGCGAGGCACAGGACACAACGGTACCCTTAAGCTGGCAGGGTCGACCTACTAATCCGGGCCGCCTGTACCTGCCCCTGGCGCGCCAGCCAGGGTTCCGGCTCTCGCAGCTTCAGCGGGAGGCCGTGGCGGAACCTTTGCGCGGCGGCGCGGCGTCGGTCGCGGGATGGCCGCGGGAGGCTCTCCCGCAGGTTCGCCGCGCTGTTGGGCCCATCCTTGGAGTGCCAGCATGCGGCCGTGGAGCGACACGGTGGAGCGTGCGTCTTGGCTACTCTTCGGCGACTCCGAAGGGTGTGGCTTGCGAAGGATGTGGCTTGCAACTGGCACTCGGGGGCGCAGCCCGGGGGGTGGGGCGAGGACCTCGACGGAGCTCTCCGCCGCGCCCCGAGGCGGCCCGACGAGGACAGCGTCGTGCCCGCCCAGGCCCCGACGGCGCCGATCGCAAACCCACACGCTCTGTAGTCGCTGAGACTTGGCTGCTGTGCCACGGTCTCGTCTCACCCGGCGTGCCGCCGCTGGTTGCCGGCGTGGTCGCCCTCCGCTCAGAGGGAGCGCGGGGGGCGGGGACCGCCCGCAACCCGCAGGCCGACGGCGTCAACGTCGACGACGAGCCGCAGGCCGCATCTCCGACGATCCGCCTGCTGATGGAGCCCAGGTGCGTGCGGAAGCGCCTTGGCCAAGGTTTCCTGGCGGCGCGCGAAAGAGACGCCTCACCAGGAGTGCTACCTGATCCTTCACCTCGCGTGGCTGCCGCTGCACGTCCTGGCGCAGTGCTCCTGGCTACCGCGATGGTGGCAGCGTGGCAGCGCATGCGTGCTCGACACCGTCCGAAGCGGGCCGCTCAAGTGGAGATCGCGGCGGCGTAAACGTGCACGACCCTCGTCCTGTGCTACCTCGGCGTGGTGTCAAACGCGCGGTGGTGGAGAACGCCACTAAGCTTATCGAGATGCTGTAGGTCGGCCTTCCTGTCATATCGAGTCACGAACGATGGCAGGCGGGCCCGTGCCTCTTGTGCCTCAAGTGCGGCGCCCGCACCAAGACTGCGCGGCTGATGCTGACCGAGATCCCGTGCTTTGGCAATCCGGTCAACCCACACATGGTGCTGGTGGTGGACGAGCCTTCCGGAAGCGAGGCGCCGTGTGGCTGAGGCATGGGGCCGAGGCCTGCGCTGTGGGTAGTCAATCCGCTTCCTGCGCCCGGGGTAGACGGCTTCCAGCGCGCGGGTTTCAACCTCGCAGCTCCTCATGCGGATCGCGCGGATCTCACCCTCCTTGCCGACTCGTAAGAGGTTGCGGTGCGGGAGCTGGGCCGTGCCACGTGGGCATGCTGCACCGCATCCCGCCGTGCTGGCGGGGCGGCCCGCCGGGCGTGCGGAGGGCCACGCGCTGCGCGGGGCCTCCAGGGCGTGTGCGACATGCCGATTCTGGGCTTGGCCGTGTCGCACTCGCGCATCGCGGCGCCCGTCGGCATCAAGGCCAGGCTGGCGGAGCATCTCGGGAGATCCACCTCGTGCCACCATGGGTACGCCAGTAGACCGCAAGCCCTTGGCGAAGGAGGTGGCCGTGACGGGGGCCTCGGCGTCGGTCGTCCCAATGAAACTCCTGAGGCGGAACTGGCGCAGCATGAGTACGCGTACGGCCTGGGCTGACCTTTCGATAAGATTCCGTTGGTGCCTCTTCGTCTGTCGGGTCGTGCGTGCGGGTGCAGGGGGCGGCGCGAAACTATTCTGCGGGCAGCATCGAGGCCAGTAGGGGTGTGTGTGTGTGCAGCGTGTGCTGCGCCTTTCTCAAGCAGCATGCTGTCTGGACGTCGTCGTGCGGCGCGCACTTCAGGCCCGCGGAGGCCTCCTCATCTCGCCGCTGCAATTCGTGATCGCTGTGGCATGGGCTGTTGTGCCTTGGTGGGGGTGGAGGTGCCTGCCGCCACATGTTGCCAACAGTGTCTTGGCCATCCTCGCTGCTATCAAGGTGACGGTTGAGCGTGGTATTCGACAGCAGATATGCCGCCGACCGAGGTACCCATCACCATCACCGCCAGCATGGTCATCACCATCACCATCACCATCATCAGCATCATCGCCTTCATCCTCTTCATCTTCTTCAGTATTACTTCTCTCCCCTGCCCCATCCGCCATTCCCCCTCCTCTTCCTCCAGTTTATCCTCCCCATCCTCCTCATCAGCATAATCATCATCACCATCATCAGCATCATCATCACCACCACCACCATCATCATCATCAGCATCAGCATCAGCGTCAACATCAACATCACCATCATCACCTGCATCATAATCATCATCACCACCACCACCACCACCATCATCATCATCATCATCATCATCAGCATCATCACAATCACCATCAGTATCATCATCACCACCACCAGCATCATCAGCAGCATCAGCATCCGCAGCAGCATCATGATCATAAGCAGCATCATCATCATCATCATCACCATCAACATCATCATCCTCATCATCATCATCACCATCATCATCATCATCATCGTCATCATCCTCATCGTCATCAACTTCATCCTTGCCCTCCTGCCCCTCTTCTCCTCCTCCTCCTTCTCCTCCTGTTACTCCTCTTCCTCCTCTTCCTTCTCCTCCTCCTCATCCTCATCATCATAATCGTCATCATTTCCATCACCATCACCATCATCATCATCATCATCATCATCCTCATCATCATCAGCATGAGCATCAGCATCATCTTCCTCGTCCTCCTCATCCTCATCCTCATCCTCATACTCACCCTTACCCTCCTGGTATCTTCTCCTCTTCTCCTTTTCTCTGGTATCCTTATTTTCCGTAGCTGCCTTTGCCCAAATCAGGGATGGGATGGACATTCGGCATGTTGGCAGGGGACACAAAAGTTCTCCCCGAAGCCTCGCGGACTCACTAGTCAAGTGCCTGCAGCTGGATAAGGTCGACGCCCCAATTCCTCAAACTCGAAACAAGCGCACCGAGAGAGTTGGACGGCATCGCTTGGCAGACGCCGCCCGAGCTGATAGACAGAAGGGGCTGCGGGAACAGGACAGGGTGGCACGGCAGAGGATGAGAGGGGGAGCTCCCGCGGCAGAGGGAGCCGACGATGAGAACCAGGTGGGCGGGCAGCAGACCGCAGAGACGAGGCGGGGCACTCCCGCAGCGCCGGGGACGCCGCCTCCTCTGAGGGGGCCCTGGGACACACAAATAGAGACACACAAACAACAGGGCTCCCCATATTTTCCCACATCGTCCGTGCTTCTGTCTTCCCCCCCCACTTCCCATATTTTCCCATATCTTCCTTGGGGGATCGACGATTCGTTGTGTCCGCATGTTTTTGTCCCTCCCTTTTGTGGCCTCGCGGTCAATCTGCACTGTGCTAGTTTGTTCTGGCTCCCGCACCTCTTGGGATGCTGGGCCGGTTGTCGAGCTCCCTCCGAACTGAGAGCCAACAGCTACGGGCAGACAGACAGCACCACACGCACACGCTGCTGCGCTCGGTGTGAATCACTGCTGCATGCCTCACAGACCGACGAGACGAGGCGGGGCGCTCCCGCAGCGCCGGGGACGCCGCCTCCTCTGGAGCGCCGCGCTGGCCAGCAGTGCACCGCCACGCGAGGGCGAGCAGCACGGCCGCCTGGGGCCCGCGAGGGCCGTCGCCGCCGCCGTCGTCGTCGCCGTCGTCGTCGTCGTCGTCGTCGTCGCCGTCGTCGTCGTCGTCGTCGTCGTCGTCGTCGTCGTCGCCGTCGTCGTCGTCGTCGTCGTCGTCCTCTCCGAGGAGCGGCTCGGCCCTCCTGGCGGGGGGGCGCGCCGCCGGCGCGCGGCCACGAGGAGCGCCAGCTCCGGGCGGCGAGGCGGCCTCTCGCTGTGGCCGGGGCGAGCCTCGGCCACGCAGCGGCCCCCCGGGCCCAGAGCTGAGGAGCAGGCCCGAACGCCGGAGCCCCCCCCGGAGCCCCGAGCACGGCCCCGTGCAGAATCCGCCGGGCCCCCCTCGGGGCGCCCACGGGCTGCGAGGCGGAGCACCGTCGAGGCGTTGACCTAAGGAACCCTAAATAAGGAACGGGGCCCCATTTTTCCATAAGTCAAACTTCGACTTCCCATCGAAGACATAAGGAAAACCTGAGGCAAGCTGTGAAGCACTTACGGAACGCGAAGCCCCTCCCCAACCAAAAGGGTTCCTTATTCAGGGCCCCGACTGTATGATCCTGCGCCCTGCACCAGTTCCACTTCCCAGTGTCATGCGCCACCGTGCCTCGTGCACGTGGAGGCGAGGAAGAATGCCAAGGTCTGGCTGACGGGACTTCTGTCTGCTACGGAGGGAGCCCGCCTCGCCACCCCTCCCGAGGCCACGATCCCTGGTTGGAGGTTGGGGGGTGAGATCGCAGTGGAACGGAGAGCCCCCCATCGGGAAATCGGTTTCGGTTTCATGCTCGTGTCGTGCGGGCGAGGCGAAGCTGCGTGCGCGCGCGAGAAGAATGATGCCGCCGTGGCTAGGGGCTGTGAGCTGGTTGTCCGCCCTTCCCCCCCTGGCGCGCGGTGGCGGGGGGTGTCCCGTCGGTGGCGCGTCGGTGTCCCGTCGGTGGCGCGGGGTGCCCCGTCGGTGGCAGGGGTGCCCCGACGGTGGCGCAGGGGAGCCCCGTCGGTGGCGCGGGGTGCCCCGTCGGTTGCGCGGGGTGTCCCGGCGGTGGCTCAGGGTGTCCCGCCGTGGTGTCTCGATGGTAGCTCGTGACATCAGTTATGACATCGATCGGGAAATCGATAGTGAGATCGGTTGGGCAACCGATCGTGATCGTGAGATCGATCGCGAGATCGAGAGATCGATAGTGGGATTCATAGTGAGATCGATAGCGAGATCGCTCACAACAGATCATTGGTTGGGGGTGCCCCGCCGTGGCTGGGGGTGCCCCATCGTGATGTCCCAATGGTGTCTCGTGAGATCTCTTGTGAGATCGATAGTGAGATCTCGTGTGATATAGAAGTAGGATCGATAGTGAAATCGATAGTGATATCAATAGTGCGATCAATATCGAGAGCGATAGTGGACTCGATTGTGAGATCGATTTTGAAATTCCTTGTGCGATCGATCGTGCGATCTTGTGTGAGATCGACAGTGGGATCGATAATGAGGTCAGTTATGATATCGATTGTGAAGTCGATCGTGAGATCGATCACAATAGATATCACTATCGATATGTTGTCTTGGCGACCAGGCTTGTAGAAAAAAGTGCGAGCCATTATTGCTACTATCATCGCCACCACTGCCACCTGCCTTTCATAATGGTCTGACGGAACTCGAAACCGAAATGTCCGTTGTGGTGGCATTTATTTCGACCGCTGGTGTTCCGATGATGTCCCGATATTGCCCCGCTGGTGTCCCGATCGTACTGAACGCCTCTCGCTGTGAGATTGATAGTGAGGCCTGTTGAGAGATCGATAATGAGATCGAAAGTGGGATATGTTGTGAAACCGATAATCCGATCGATTACAAGATCGATCGTGACATCGTTGTTGAGATCGATGATGAGATTGATAGTGAAATCGATAGCGAGATCAATCGATTGGAGTCGACTGCGAGGTCGCATGTATGCGGTGTGAGTTCCATCGCGGCTGTGTCACCTTCATTACAATCACCATTGTCCATTCTCACCATCAGCGTCATCGAGCAATGTCGCCATCCCATCGCAATCACAGTCATCGCAGTTGTTGCCAGTGGGTTCCCCTTCCCTCCCCCCCAGACTCCTTGTCAGCCGAAGGGTGGCCGTATAGGTAACAAACACACACACACACACACACATATATATATATATATATGTGTATATGTGTATATATATATATATATATATATATATATACATATATATATAGAGAGAGAGATAAATAGATCCGCGTTCCTGAGGCCACGATCCTTCGTAAAAAGCGAGGTGTCGGCGTCCCGAGCATCCCAGACTGCCCAGGCGGGCAACCAGGGACACCAGAATGGCCCAATATACCTCGAAGACGGCCCGAGATGGCCCCAAGTCGGCCCAGTATGGCTTCAAGACGGCCCAAGACGCCAAAAGGGCCCAGAAGGACGGCATGCGGACCTTCAACAGGGTCCGAAGAAACCAACATCACTGATCCCCCGTAAGTTCTCAGTGATCGACGCATTCTCGCCGTTTCGGGGTTCCGTCAGCTCAAGACGTCCCAAGAAGCCTCCACGATGCCCCCAAAACGGCGCAGGAGGCCCACAGGAGGCTCCCAAGATGGCCTAAGAGGTCCCACGATGGCCAAAGAAGCATCCAAGACGGCCCCAAGACGGCCCAAGGGGGCCTCTCGTGAGACCCAAGTCGGCCTCAGAAGGCCTGTCGACTGCCCCAGACGGCCCCTTGAAGGCCCCCAGGCACCCACCATACGCAAAGAGGGCCCCAAGACGGCACAAGAGGGCCCCAAGGGACCCCCAAGACTGTCTCACAGGAGGCTAAGATAGCCCCAAGACCGCCCAAACGAGTTCCACAAGAGCTCCTCAAATAGTGAAGACGAAAGGTATATATCACATGTGGCAGTCTTCCTCTCATTTCACCTCCTCGGTCGGTCGGCCGGTCGGTCGGAGCTCAAGGCCAGTTCAGATGGAAGCCTCTCCTCCTCCTCCTCCTCCTTCTCCTCCTCCTCCTCATCATCAGCGTCACCACCACCATCCTCATCATCATCATCCTCATTTCCCACCTCATCCTCATCATCAGTATCATCAGCATCATCAGCATCACCAGCACCACCAACAACATCATCGCCACCATCAGCATCATCATCATCCTCAGCAGCATCAGCATCATCATCATCATCATCAGCAGCAGCATCATCATCAGCAGCATCATCATCATGATCATCAGCAGCAGCAGCATCGGCGTCGTTGTCGTCGTCATAATCGCGGCCCTCTCCCAATCCTGGAGACACGGAGGCACGAGGCGCCACGCATAACAGCATCCCGTGCCCCCTCGTACACTCGCCACCCAGAATGCTTGACTGGCACGATGGCGAGACTTGCCTAAGGCAGCTGGATAGTTATAGATGTTATCCGCCACCGCGCCTCTGGCACGAAGTGGAGTGCCCCAAGGCTCACGCAGCACTGAGAGGGATGCGGTTCTGCTGCAGCCAGAATTGCAAATCGTTAGAGGCCCGGACCAGTCGTTTCCCAGGCTTTCTGGGGTCCGCCGGAATCGCTCGCGTGGAGCTACACGGGCCAGGAGGGCCTCAAAAGCAGCGCAGATGGCTCCAAGAGGCCCCCTAAAATGGCCGAAGGGAGCCCCAAGTCGCCCCAAGATCGCTCCAAGACGCCCAAAGTGGCCTCAAGATGGCCCAAAAGACCTCCAAGACGCCACAAGAGGTCTCCAAGAGACCCACTAAGAGGGCCCCACGAAGCAAAAATCGCCCTGAGGTTCTTGAAGGATCTTGGCGTTTTCGCCTGTTCGGCTCTGCGCCGCCCCAAAACAGCTGCCGCGCGCCCAAGAACAGCTGCGGCGCGCGCTCGGCACGCTGCGGACCGCCGCGTGCCCGCCTTTCGAGAGGAGGCACACGCAACTGGAACGCTCGCGCCAAATCATGAAGCGACCCGCTAGAACAGGGCATGCCGACGTCCCCCATTTGCCAAAGATCAAGGCTGAACCTCAAAGGTGATTTTCGTTTTCGTTTTGTTTTCGTTCTCCCTCGTTTTGTTTTTCAATTCACCTCTACCGCAAAACGAAGTCGAAACGAAAACGGCCCACGAAATCGCCAAAACACCGTTTAGGTCCAGCCCTGCCAAAGATTCGCAGGCGTGGCCAATTGGCCCAGGCCTGGCGCTGCTCTGCGCAACGCCCAAGCCTCCAGATCCGGCACGGCCGCGGCCGGCTCAGCCATCCGACGCGCACATGCGAGCGTGGGAAGCACGCACACATTGCGGGCCAAAGAAGCAAAGCATAGGCCCATGGCGGCCCATGGCCAGCCTTCGATCCTCTCCCGGATCGGCGGATGGCGTTCTCCCAAAGGCCGTCGGCCTGACCAGGACCTATCTTGCAAACTGAATAGGTCGCTCACCTCTTCAATGGAAGAGCTCGCCAAGCGGGACACGCCCTGGCCATGATTCCTGCAACTGCCTCGAGCGATCCTGACCACAAGGGGGCTCCGACTGTCTTTGCCACCCCCGAGAGAGCGCCAAATTCTTTGAACGCGTGCTGTAAGATTGGCAGTTGACTGCTGACGTCCAACCAGATCAACCCCCCGTCCTCGGCGAAGGCGCAAATTCCAAACCACCGCCCAACCTTTTGGCCAGGGCGCGGAGGAGGAGGCCCATGGCCACCGCAAAGACTGGCGGGAAGAACGAGCATCCTTGCCCGATGCCGGGCCCGATGACGATGCCAGGGAAGCGGACCCCCCGACGGATACCTCGGACCTGCCTTCGTCGTAAAGGACGCCGAGCACGCGGACAACAGCGTCTGGCACCCCGAACCCTCGCCGACAACGCCGCAGGAATTAATGCGAGACGTTCGGGGGTGCCGCTTTGAAGTCAGCACGCACTCTACTTCCCCTCCGACACGCGGCCGCGACGTGCATCGCATTGTGCTCAAGGTCGCTCGCGTTGGCGAGCATGGAGGGCCCCGGCAGGAAGCCACGCTGGTCGTCCGA